TATGTTTTTTTCCTATTAGTCGGACAGCTGCCGCAGGCTGCCGTAAGAGTAAAGAAATAAAAAAACAACAAATAGCATAGGAATAAACAACTAGACTGCTATTGGTCATTTCAAATTGGAATAGCCAATAGTAGACTGGCTATTGCACCCGCCTACTGATGCTGTCAATCAGGATAGGTGGACCTGATGGAGAACTTCAGGTCCTCCTATTGCACCCGCCTACTGCTCCTGTCAATCAGCAGAGGTGGACCTCATGGAGAACTTCAGGCCCTCCTCTGATGATTGACAGCAGAAGTAGGCGGGTGCGATAGCCAGCCTACTATTGGCTATTCCAATTTGAAATGGCCAATAGCAGCCTAGCTATTGATTCCTATGCTATTTGTTTTTTTTTTTATTTCTTTACCCTGACGACAGCCTGCGGCAGCTGTCAAACTAATAGAAAAAAAAACATAGCAGGAGAATCAGCATATAACAGGGAGCTAATGCTAATGCTGTGATCTGATAGGTACTGAGCAGAATAGCCGAGCCGAATGCCGCTGGGCGGCATTCGGCTATTCACTTACTGCTGTTTGGCCCCTATGAGAATAGGCCGAACAGCACCGAGTAGCCTGCCGGAGGTTCGGCTCAGCTGATAGAGATGTTGGATCGGCTGAGTCGAACTCCTTCTGCACTTCGGGTCAGCCTGAACATGCTGAGCATGTTCGGCCGATCCGAAGCCAGCCAAAGCAAGCCGATGGACGGTTGATTTCAATATGGCTGTATGGCTGAAATTAGCTGTACAAGCCTGAAGTGAATAGCCGAACAGCGTTCGGCTCACTTCACTTCAGATGGGTTATTCACACGGCTGCCTTCGGCAGCTTTGTGAACAACCCTCTTAGTCTCCATTAGTCACTTTTTATTACACCTTCCCAAATAGTTTGAATCATTCATCATAAAGACATCATAGTGGTCAAATAGTGATAGTGGTGTCACAGTGACCATTGACTAGAGGTTTTTGTTATGTTTATGATTTAAAAGAAATCAAAATAATGAACAGATATGCCTGAATGCAATAATGACCACTACATAAGCTTTAGAGGGAGGGCAAGGGCTTGTGTTAACAGGCTTTTGGCTTGTGTCGATGGCATTAGTTTATCATCAGTTTGAAATGCTTCTGAGAGTATTCAGAATTCATTGACAGATGCAACTGACTTTATTCTGACTTTCATTTCACCTGCTTTAAAAAGGGGTTTAAATTACCATAGGCTTGAATGGGAATGAAAAAGTGCCTAACATGAACACAAAAAGCCATGAAAATAAAATCATAACCAAGAGAAAACAAACAATATTTTGCTTGCACGATTGAGTCACATCATTCACCAAAAGAGGAAACTTTCCCTGCAAAGTGCAAATTCGCTTGCAAACTGATGAGCCTATTTGCCTTTAGTAAATCGTCTTCATAGTTTTCGAAGAAGGTAACATCTGCATATATTACTTTGTCTGAATCGATCGCATAGACACTGACATGTTTACTTTGATCCAAAAGAAAAAACCCTCAGTTAATGGGAATCTGACAAATTGTTGTTCACTTTGCATAAAGTATTACTTTTTGTATTGTCTTAGCATACAGGTGAAACTCGAATAATTAGAATATCGTGCAAAGTTCATTTATTTCACTAATGCAACTTAAAAGGTGAAACTAATATATGAGATAGACTCATTACATGCAAAGCAAGATAATTCAAGCCGTGATTTGTCATAATTGTGATGATTATGGCTTACAGCTCATGAAAACCCCAAGAACCCCAAATCCACAACCTCAAAAAAGTAGATTATTACATGCAATCAATAAAACAAGGATTGTACATAGAACAATATCGGACCTCTGAAAAGTACAAGCATGCATATGTACTCAGTACTTGGTTTGGGCCCCTTTTGCATCACTTACTGCAATTACTTTTGCACGATATTCTAATTATTCGAGTTTCACCTGTATATACCAATCTCTATTGTGTCCAGTGGTATATAAATACCTAATGCCCTGGTGATGGGTATGGCACTTCCATGTAGAGAACACTGTTATTTTAAGCCTTTAAAAAAATTAAAATAAATGCAAACATAATAAAAGAACATTTTTTTTTGCATTGAAGCCAGTAAAGCATTGCAACTACAATCAATACATTGTGGGTGCAATGCTCTGGCTCCTGCAGATTTTCCCTCTAGTCTCTGTCCATATCAAGGCATGTACATTCAGTACCAGGGATCGGAGGAAGAATGAATGGACTACAAGTGTGGTGACATCACTGCTTGTATTCCATTGAGAACTGCATGCCCCTCTGCCGTGGTGGCTGAAGGGGCTTATGTTTTCTCCATTCACAGATCCTGTCAAAGTGAATGGATGATGCCACTGTGTGAGGACAAAACCATGGACAGTCATGCAATTTTCAGATAATGACGAGAGGGCAGAAGATTCAAGTAAGATGTTGGTGGGGGGTGCCGGAGTGACCATGTTTCATGTTACACCCTGCATGGTGCAAAAGGTAAACTTTGCCTTTAATCTCTGATCCTTTAGTTTCTTCATTGGCCATGTTAGGCATCTGAGAACAGCATCTAAAAGATGCAAGTCATTGATTACTAAAATTATTTAGTTAAGTTTTTATTAAAGTAACTTTTCCCACCATTTTGGATATGGTAGGTAATAGGTAAAATTGAGAGGAAACCTCTTCAAAGTGAGTGAAATCTACTTTTAGACCCATGGATTTTTCCACACTTTCAGCCCTAGTGACAATGGTAGTAAATGTCCCTAGCAGGGACAATAGCACAATACAATTTCAGCTTCAGTATTAAATACCAATTCCAGTAGCAAGACCAGTATGCATCATTATAGCCTAATAAAACACACTAACCAGAATATTTTGTATTTATTTATTCATGTATTCATTTAATTAATGAATTCATTAATTAATTAAACAGTGCTGCAAGATACTATTAAACATAGTGCAGGTAGCATTTAGCTGCCTGTCATGCACTGTGTATTACTGTGAAATAATAGTGTCTGCCCTTATTATAAAGCCTGAATGTTCACACTATATATGCATGTCCCTGGGTTCTGCTATTACAGGAAGAGAGCAGTATTCACTCTCTTTTAACAATGGATAGCCGTAGTAGTAACAACAATACAACTGTGATAGCAGGTTCAGAAGAGATGTAAGATTAACGCATATATTATTTATATATATGTATAGATAGGTATTGCAGCCATTACATTGTTTAAATATAAAACACATTTTAACCCACACTCTACATTTGCAGGTTCATGTTTTTGTGCAGCAGAGTGACTTATTTGAAATTCCAGAGTCAAACAATGCAAGTACAGTAAGCCAAAAGGCTTTGGATGTCCCCAGTAAGGAAAGAAAAACTAGCTTGTTTCTAATCAAACCAAAAAAACTGGGAAAGATCCCAGTCACAGTAAAAGCAATTTCAAAAGGAGCATCTGAAGTTGTTACTGAGGAAGTAATAGTAAAGGTAACTAAATGTCAATGTGTGCTGAATGTAAACAGAAATTTACAGTGTGTATGCAGATATCAACTTAACACCACATTTTGAAAGGCTGGGAAAAAGCACCTGTGTGCCCCATAACCAAACGTTACTGAGGTTTTCAACATTGCTGCAGTACAGATCAGTGAAGTGGTCAGAAGAGTTGATGGTAATATGTAAGCCTTACTCCAGCCACTAAAATAGCCTATGAAGATAGCTTTTCTGAAATATTCCACATGCTGAAAGCTCCACTCTATCGGAGTCCAGTATGTGTCTGTATTTCAAAAGTGCCTGGTTTTATAGTGTTGTTTGGTGCAACACAGATCAGGTAGATGAGCAGAAGGGCTGATGGTAAGATTTGACACTGAAGTGTGCCTGCAGCAGAGAGGTTAGTTCCTATTTCATTTTAAGGTAACTTTGCTTTATGGGGACTCTATAATAAAGGTTTCCATTTTTTCAAATGTTAATGCCATTATTGAAATCACCGCTTGAACTTCAAAAACCAGAACTTCTGCAAGTGGCCATCTGTTGCTCCCCCTACTGTGCCCATTGGTTCTTCCAGCTGATGCCTATGTCACTACTATGTCCTGACTGCAGCAGAGAACCACGGGATCCCAGAAGTGTTAGTTTCTGGAATAACTACACAGGACGATTACTCTTCATTAAAGCAGTTTTCGACAGCTTTCTTCTTTACAGATTCTCAGTTTAGAGTCATACTCACTTTAAAAGTAAGGCAAATCTGTAGGCTGCCCCTGATGACCTTTCCTTCTAAAAAATCTATTTGGTTGAATATCATGCTGATCCAGTGGCTTTAGTACTTTCTAAGTCATTGACCTGAATCCAGTGTACAGATCAGGATTTCTTACTTCACTCTGACTATAGGCAAACTTCTAGGTTAGCAAATCGGAAATCATTAGTCACAAATGGCCAGATAATTAGCTATTCCAGAAGGAGGTTAGCAATGGCAGCCTCCATGTTTTTTGCCATTCAGGTTTCATTTGAGTAGACATTCTTTATCTTCTTACAAAAATCATAAAAATGTAATGTTACCTTATGTGTGATACATCCATGAGTGAGAATTTTTGAATTTTTTGGCAAAAGGCATGAAAGATCTGACATTTTAATACCCCAATTATAACAATAATTTAGTTCTCATCGAATTATTTTTTGCAGAGTGCTATTTTTCTGAAATGCCTGTGCTGAGATTTGCAAACATTGCTTAGAGATATGTTGTCATTGCCTATATTATATGTAATTCTATCAGCAACTTTAGTATAGCACAAAGTACTATCACTCTCATTGAATGTATCTGTCCCTGAAAAGATATTGAACTGAAAATGCACAAATACTTTACAGTGTTTTGTCTCTTTTGGCTTTAGGCTGAAGGATTGAAGAAGTATTATTCACAGTCTACATTTTTGGACTTAAAAACCACTAGAGGTCCCAATCTCCCCCTTTCAAAAACCTTATCGTTCACTTACCCTCCTGATGTGGTGGAAGGAAGCGAGGAAGCATATATAACTATTATTGGTAAGACATTCAACTCATTTTAATCAGAATATCTCAAGTATTAATCACAAATTTTAATACACATTAGGGGTTATTCACAAAGCTGCTGAAGGCAGCCGAGTGAATAACCGAGCCGAAGTGAACAGAGCCAAACGACGTTCGCCTATTTACTCCGGCTCAGTACGGCTGATTTCAGCCGTGCAAAGGCTAAAATCAGCCGTGCAAAGGCTGAAATCAGCCATACATCAGCTGCCTTTGGCTGCCTTCGGTCAGAAGGACTTGGACTCAGCCGATCCAACATCGCTGCCATTCACCACTATTCTCATAGGGGCTGAACTGCAGTGAGTGAATGATGAGCGGCATTTGGCTCAGCTATTCTGCTCGTTACCTCCGTAGTTCCAAGCAGAATCGAAAGTAGGTGAAAAGAAAGGAAAGAAAATAGTTGAAAAAATATTTTAAAAATTGTAAACAAATAGTAAAATGAAAACATAACATATTTTTAAAGAAAAGAAAAAAAATTGGGCAGAGCTAGTGGTGACAGCTAGCTCCACCCAACTGTTTCCTGTTGGCTTCTAGCAGGTCCCAGGCCATTGAATAATAACTGGGCGGAGCCGGCCATGATGTCACATCCGGCTGATCTGTCATTACAACTGGGCGGAGCGAGCTGTGAGATCATGTCTGGCTTCGCCCAGCTTTTATTTGCGGGGAGAATGGCCGGCCTTTGGCAGACCATTCTCTCCACTTTGGCTGTCACTTCGGCTCATTCGAGCCGAAGCATATGCCTTCGGCTCAGCCACCGGCTCAGCCACCTTCGGCAGCTGCACAGGCGATTGTGAATAGCCCGTACAGCAGCCCGGTTCAGTCGAACCGAAGGGCTCCCGTGGCCGAAGAGAGCCAAAGGATCAGCTAAAGCGCCCACTGAACGGTGCTGAATAGACAACCATCTATCTTATACACAGTATATTGCTACGCTGTCTTTAGATAGAATCGTGTGATTTATTTGTAAATCACAGTGAAGTTATTCTACATTTAATATTTTGCATTAAACCATATTATTCATGTTTTGCTGTTGTATGATACTGCCTCTCTCCCCTTGTATTTTATGCATTTTTCTTACGGGGCCTATGTTGATAAACTTTTGTTCATGTCAAATGAGTTTTGCATTCCCATAAAAGCCTATATGAACCCAAAACCCTCTTGAAGCAGGTTAAATGCAGGTTAGAAAAAGGTAAACTGCAAGCTAAATGCACATGTCAAGGAATTCTACATACGGTAATCTCAAACTGATGTCATAAGCACAAGCCCAAAGCACACTGATACAGGCCCTATAATAGGGAATGTCCATCCTACACCTGCTCCTATAGGCTCTTATTTTCTGCCCTCTCTTTACACCACCCCCAACCCAACCCCCCTTCCCTCCTACCTCACACCAGATCCTGGCCCAGCTCTTTTCATTCTTACCTGGATGAAATGTTGTCACTCTGCTTGCCTATCCTAGCTTCAGCAGCTAAAATTCAGGAGTATAAGAGACCCAAAACGTTTTAATGGTATACTTAAAACATTAAACTCACTTATGAAACCTGCTCTTTTAGCTGCAAGCTTGGTAGCCCACATTTATGTAGGGAAATTCACAGTTGAAGATTGTTGCATTAATGATCTCCCCTGTGCTTAGGATGGGCACATAAATGGTAAACATGAATGGTCATTCAGATTTATATGCAACTATTGAATATAGTTTTACATATGCTTCATTTATGTAAACCTTTTATTTTAAAAAGGTAATCTTCTTGCACCTTCAATTGATGGTCTGGAGTCACTGATACAAATGCCTTGTGGCTGTGGAGAGCAAAACATGATTTACCTTGCTCCAAACATCTATGTTCTTCAGTACTTAGAAGCAACTAGCAAAGCAACTGAATACATAACAGCAAGAGCCATAGAGAACATGCGACAAGGTATATTACTGTATATTTACTATAACTGGCAAACCCAGATTAAGACCCATGATCATTGTGTAGTAGATCAATCTATATACTTTAATCATCTAATTGTATTTAAGGTATATATTATTTATATAGCTCTGTATTTTGCAAAGAACATACCTACATAAGTTTGCCTTTAGTTCCCAGTGGAATTACAGTGTAATGATTCCACAATGGTCATGCCCATTTGTATTGTGCTAAGAGCACTGGCTATCAGAGTGTAGATGTGGTTGAGGTTGAGTTTTGGCAAGGAAAAGGTGCCTGCAATCTCTGAACAGTTATCCAATTGAAGCCAGGTAGGTTTGCACCCCAAGAAGGAAACAATGACGGAACCGGTGCAGGGGCCCGCGGCCTGAGGCTGTGGGGGGGCCCAGTGGGGTCCGGTCCTGGGCACCCCCACAGCCTTAGTGGGGTCCGGTCCTTCAATATGGGGCAGTGCACGGTCCCGGTGTTCGGAACCGTGCACTGCCACCGACGGGCTTCTCAGTGAGGGAGCGGGTCCTGTGACTCACCTCCCGCTGCCTGTATGGATGCGGCCGGGGAGTCACAGGAGGCGTATGTGTCAAGCCCCGCCCCCTGCAGCGCACACATCGAAACTCCCTGGCAGCGGTCCTCTGGCTGGGTAAGTGTAACACCTGGGTTACGGTGGAATGTGAGATCGCAGTCGGAGAGAATGGACATTCCAGGACCGATCAGCTAGGGAAAGCGCTGGAATGCTTCACCTATTGGCAGTCACACATTCCACCACTGAAAAACTGGGCGGGATTACGTTAAAAATCTGAATGGAAAGCCTGGTGTTAGGAAATATTGCTGTGTGTAAGCTAGTGCAATGGTTTAGGCGGATACCCTGGGGATGGATGTCCAAGCCATTGCTGCTGGCAGCTTCTGCTGCAGGGGCAGTGTTTTGGAACCAGGCCTGTCTAAGCTAGTAATTCTAAAAGACTGTTGCCTGATATGTAGCTGTGTTCTAGCATACATCCCCTGGAAGCCATGTTGCCATGCAGTCTGGGAGGCATGGCTGACCTTAACCCTACCTTGGCTGGTGAGCCATTGATTTGATTTGAAAAAAGTGAAGCGCTGTGTTTATGTCTGTGTTGCTGAACTAAAAGGCCATTTTTATGTGAAGATTTGTTTATGATGATTAATAAACAGGGCTTTGTTTAAAACCTGCAGTACCCTATGTGCTTGTTGCGATGCCAAATCCCCCTGAATATCACAATAGGTAGACATTTAGTACTCTGGATAGAAACCACACCAACTAAAATAAAAACAATGAAAGATATGGAAAAGTACTGCAGCTGTTTTTATTAAAATACAATACACTATTAATAATTACAATAAATACAATGCAGTACATTTCTGCAATATATGACATTGCATGCCCTTTTTGTTTTTCTACACCTAGGCTATCAAAATGAATTATATTATAGGAGAAGTGATGGTT